ATAATAGGCTTATCACTCTCTAAAGGATTAACGGCCTCCAACGAAGACCATGGAATGAGAGTGTGATTCTTGGCTCACAAATCTTTTATTTTGCATGTCTCGTTTTCTGATAATTTTCTTGTTGGAATTTCAAAACGGTCAATATCTTGATCCTGAAAGAGAAAAGGCTAACAAAAATCTGCTTTTTGGGAACGTAACGTTAACAGATCTTTCGAGAAATGGGCGGGGCCCTCTGGTCTTGAACATGGACCGCTCGACCCGGAAAACTAGTGTGGTAAATGTTAGGTTTTGAAAAATCCTACCGGCTAACACAAGGCCCCACAAATGGAGAACCCTCATCAGACCTCAATTCTTTCTTTTTCCACGAACATGATAAGTGAATTGAAAGCATCCAGTTAAACCTCACCAGACGCCACTTTCTCAGGGATCATTTTGCAACAGCCAGGGTCACACATTTCAGTATCATTGACATGACATGATAGGTTTACAAATGAACCTATGAAAAACGCTTTGCGATATACTAAACACACGTTAAACTTTTATTGCTCAAACGCTAAAAATCAATACAAAGAGAAAAAGACTGTAGCGTGAATAAAAAAAGCTGATAGTCCTCCATCCATCTGCATGCTAGACGTGACGCGATGGTAAAATCAAAAATCTACTACTAAAACTGTAAGAACACGAAAGAAGATCCATTCTGGTTTCAGCGACAAGCTGTAAAAACTACTCCTTACCTGTAAAATGTAACTTTAACTGTAAAATGTAACGGCTCTGAGGTTTTAAGATTGTTAGAAAGAATTAAAACTATTCGATTGAAATCATTGATTTCTAACTGTCTAAATCATGTTACGATAAACACTTTGTTAGACGTACAGCATAGTAAATGTTAAATGACTAAAATTCTGCAATCGGGAAAAAACCGCTGACTCGGCAAATGAGCTCTACATTACTGTTCTTACTTCTTTTATTCTGTAAACTATAAACTACGTCCACATAGCAGACGTCTAGTTGCTATATGAAATGTTGGTGAAGATAATGATGTATATGATGATTCCTCCAATGATAGATACAACGTTGAGCCACCTAGCAATGTTTGAGTTCCTCAAGGCACCATTGTAATCTCCTGCATTATATGAGCTGTCAACCTGCAAATGAAAAAACGAAACGTCAAACAAGCAAACAAAAAAATAAAGAAAGGAGATGATTACCACCATAAAGTTTTATAGCCTTAGTATTGATTATCTTGCAACTGTTGAAAATAGTTATGTTCGATTCAACAAATCCACAGTTTATGAAAGCGATCCTCGTAGTAATGAACCCTACTTATGTAGTAGTGGAAATATTTATTTGAAAAAATTCAGGCCCGAACGAGATTTGAACCCATGACCTTTGCGATACCGGTGCAGTGCTCTGTCAACTAAGCTAACAAACCGATTGGCCTTATTTCCACTATTGCATAAGCAGGGTTCATTACTGCGAGGATCGTTTTCATACATTTCATGAATCCGCAGTACACTTATATGATTTTCATATATTCAAATTCATTGATTGAAATCCACAGTTGTATAGCATAGCCTGTACTCTTATCGACAACGGTCTTTGTCATCACAATGGACAGAATTTTGCGCACTCAAAAGGCGCAGCCTAGTGAGTTCGCAACAAATTTACGTTATTCATATCGAAACTCGTTTGTGATCGTATACAGCACTACGGACCCACTTTTGCACGGTGGAGTACATTTCTAGACCAACAAGACCTTCTCAGTTGTTTTTGATTCCTCATGGGAAGGATTTTCAAACATATTGTTTAAGTTCCGTCTTACCATGCAAGAAAACACAACAGCAGCCAGTCCTATGGGCCATGCGCAGCAAAGGAAGTTGAACACAGACCAGCACATGTGATTTGGAGGACGAGGATTGGCCGCCACGACGACAGTCTGGGTAGCCTGTACAAGAATAAAGAAGTCAGTTAACGTCCTCTAAATGACAAGGAAAGCTCAGCCTTGAGGAGGGAAGACACGTGATATGCTAGTTACACAGCCAAATTAGCAAATAATGTCAAAGGAACAGTTACTTAGAGAGATTTAGCGTGAAATGCGAACACCAGCTTGCACTTTCACGTTTTACGTGAAATAGCGAACCTTGCTGCTTCAGCTTCGCGTGAGCGCACGTCACTTCAGATTGGACTGGAAGACGTCTTATGAGTCAGAATGAGTTCTTGCAGCTGTCTGCTGAAGGCATTTTAAGGATTTTCAACATCATAACTTCATCTGCCCTTGTATGACTCACAGGGAATAGTTTTGGTACATTTTTCCAGTAATTAACTTCTACTCCTTGAGAAAAAAGTGAGGAAAATCTTACTTACTCGGCAAACGCGAAACAGCTTACTTTCATGGAGAAACGGTAAAGTGCAACTGTCAAACGTGAAAAAATGGCGGGAAAATCGTGGTCACGTGGATACTCTTGCCTTTCACGTTTCACGTAATCGCGGTGCTAAATCT